AGGTGGGAGCGGGACGGGTTCGGGGATCCCGCGCTGGCAGCTGGCTCTGGTGGTCGGGGTGCCGCTGATCGGGGTCGGAGCAATTTACTTGTGGAACCGGCGGAGGCGTGGAACGCGGGCCGGTGGCAAAGGCACCAGCGAGAGGAAGACCCCTCGAGGGGAGGGCCAGCCCGGCCCTCCCAGACCCTTCAGGGGGCGGTCATCCCGATGGCCCCGGCGGCGACCAGATGGTGAGAGGGGCGATGGGCAAAACCCTCTCCGAGGCGGGAAGGGGCGCGAGGGCTTTCGTCGGAGGAAGAGCGGGAGGCCGCTTCAGCTAGCGTTTGGGCTGCGGCGCGCGAGCAAGCCACGTGCTTGGGGGGGCAGGGCTTGGCTCGAGTTCGCGGTTCCAAGTGCTTTAACAGAGGGCAGGTCGGGTTCCAAGGTTCCCTGCTCGAAAGCCGTCTTTTTTTTGGGGGGGGGTCCCGCGAAGGAAAGGAACGGCTGGGCCACGTGACTTCTCAACAGCAACCTGGTTATCAGTAGTTGCGGTCCTCCAGTTTTCAGCTGGCGGGGGCGGGAGCGGGGCGAGTCGCCGAAATTGGTTTTCCTTGCTGGGGCAGATTTGGCTCCAGGACTAGTCGATCGCTTTTTCTTCTTCCCTCAAGGCCTTCCTTCTCTGTTGCTCTTTTGAGTTGTATGAGGGCGGAAATAAAGACCCAAATAAGTTTTAATAGAAATGAATACCTTAAAATGCTTTTCGTTCAAATTTTGGATTGCCTATGGGTAGTATTGTCTTTGTTGTTTACTGGAAAACAGCTTTGAAGTTGTCATCTATTTTATGTGCTGAAAAGTGAAATTGTTGAAGAATCCTGAAAATAATACACAGTATAGCTATCAAGGGCAAAAGGCCACTCATCTTATTCTCTGTGTTTTCTTATCCTTTTATAAAGTTTTCCAAGTTAGTGACCAACACTGTGTGTTGTGGTAGGGAATTCCATAGTTTAATTGTGCTGGGTGAAATACTTCATGTTTTTCCTGCCCTCTTCAAGAACTCAGCAATAGCACTGAGTTCTAACGTTATATGAGAAAAGATAGACTTTTCATTATCCACTTCTTAGACATCATTTTTTCATATTTCTTTTTGCATTTCTTTTTTTCTTTCTAAGATTAAAGAGCTGCTGGTGTAATATTTTGTTTAGGAGTTTTACACCAGGCTCTTTTGGTTCTCATTTTTATATCCTTTCTAAAATATATATATATTTTGATTTGTAGTTAGAACAATGTATAATATTCCAGATATGGGTGCATCATACACTTTTATGGAGTGTTATAATATTGTAGGTTTTTTTTCTTTTGAAATTTGCTTTCTCCACCTGATCACCTCTTAGATGTTTTCATAGACCTATGAAAGCTGAACTCTTGAATTCCTTTCCCAATTGCACACTGCTTTCTCATATTATTTCAGTATATATGTTCAGAGAAATCATCTGTCAGACAAATATGCAACTGAATTCACCTAAAAATATTTTTTGGGAACTCAAAGGCACTGTATAAATTTTCACGTACTTAAGTTGAATGGTAGTAATTATTTGTTTTATTTATATCCTCCAAGTCTCAAAACTCTTAGCAATTTATATTAATTACAAGCAACACAAGCATTTAAATAAATGTCCATGGTAGGAATTAAAATATTTAACATTCTAGAGCAATAAAACTATAAACATCAAGAACATAATCAAGCCAGGTATCCTATACAGTTGTAAGAAAAAGTATGTGAACCTTTTAGACTTGTAGTGTTCTGCATTAATTTGTCATAAAATGTGATCTGATCATCATCTAAGTCAAGAGTACTGACAAATATAATGTGCCTAAAATAACACAAAAACAATTCTGATCCTTCATGTCTTTATTGAATACACTCATTCAATATTCAAAATGCTAGTGGAAAAATTAAGTGAACCCTTGGAATAATAACTGGTTGACCCCCCACCCACCCCCGGCAGCAATAACCTCAACCAGGTGCTTCCTGTAGCTGTGGATCAGACCTACACATCATTCAGGAGGGATTTTAGCCCATTCTTC